CAACACAAATACAAAACAGATAACTCAATACAAAGAAGTGAGCACAGCCTCTGGATACAGTGATCAGGTTAGGTTGCACAGGAAGACAGCTTGCTCTGGAACGTTATGGGCTTGTACTGGATACAGGAACGTATTAACCGTGCTTTGCCTTGGGCGGCATTTTTCAGGGGTTGGCAAAAAACGCCGCCCCCAAATGCCCAGGGCAAATGCCTAGTTAGCCTTGCAGCTAACTGACATGCTGGGCTGGCGGGCGGCGTTGGCTGATGGGCGGGCTGCGTTGGCTGATGGGCGGGCGGGCGGCTGGCGAGGGAGCTCTTCCTCTGAGCGGTCTGCTCAGCTCCCTCGAGCGCCGCAGAGTGAGGCTGGGAGCCGGAATATGACATCATCTTCCGGCTCCCAGCCTCACTCTGCGGCACGCGAGGGAGCTGAACAGTCAGCTTAGAGGAAGAGCTCCCTCGCCAGCCGCCCACCCAGCAGCCACAGGGCAGCACAAAACCAGGATACACCACTGACTGGATAGCAGCAAGTTCTGGAACACTGTGGGTTTGCACAGGATAGCAGCTTACTTTTGTAACACTGAAGGTTAGCAAAGGAACTTAAGTACCATAGAACACAGCACCACTGAGAAAAATCTCAAAGAATAGGACACAGGAAGCAAGGATATCAGCAGACAAGATACAGAGACCAAATCTGTAACAAATCAATGAACAAGATGGAACGAGTCTAAACCAAACAGGGAGGAAATAATTACATGGAAGGGCCAGAGTCAGATCTCTTCAGTCTAGGTGCAGCAGCCTATAATAGCATCACAAGAAGGTAGTGGTGCTGTGGGGTACTGCACCAGACTGAAGAGATCATAAAACTAGGCAGAGTACATAGAATCGTGACACTCAGTAGCAGTCAAAGGACTCCTATTATTTAGAGGGAAACAGCTAGGTAGAGATAAATGGATACTAAATCTCCAAATGTATATGGACTTTTACACCTATATGACCTTGTTGGACATCCTATTCCAAAATGTATGAGTATTAATATGGAGTTCCCTCCCCACTTTTGTGGTTATAAAAACTGCCCCTCTTCTGGAAAGGCTTTCCAGATACTAGATTGTGCCTATCGAATGTTTTGCCCATTCAGCCAAAATAGCATTTGTGAGGTTGGACAAGAAAGTCTGGATCACCATCAGTGCTGCAATTCAGTGCTCCTCAACCCTTTCCTCAAGGCACACCTAACAGTCCAGGGTTTGGGGATTACCCAGGTGTGTCTAAGGTGTTTACAAAAAAAACAAAACCTTAGACTCTTAAGGTTTTTTTTTCTTTCTTTTTCTAAACACCTTAGACACACCTGGGTAATTCCCAAACCCTGGACTGTTAGGTGTGCCTTGAGGAAAGGGTTGAGGAGCACTACTGTAATTCATCCCAAAGGTGCTCAGTAAGGTTTAGACCAGTGCTTTGTGCAGACCACTTAAGTTTCTTCACACCAAACTCGCCAAGCCATATCTCCATAGCCCTTGTATTGAGCGCAGAGGCGTAACTAGAAATCACCATGCTGCAGTGCAAAAATTGCCATAGACCCCCATGTGTCTAATTCTCCCTCCCTAGCCCCTCCATGTGTCTCATTCCCCCCAAGTCCTTCATGTATCTCATCCCCCTTTCAGCCTTTCCATGTGTCTCATTTCTCCCAAGTGTCTAATTTTCCCCCAGAGCCCCTCCATGTGTCTCATTTCCTCCCCCCAAGGCCCCTCCATGTGTCTCATTTCCTCCCCCCCCCAGGCCCCTCCATATGTCTCATTCCCTCCCCCAGCCCCTCTATGTTTTTCTCCCCCTCCTCTCTGGTACCTGCTCGCTGCAGTACCCGTCTGACAGGACGTGCTCTCTCAGTAAGCACTTCTTGTCAGACTGCTCGGCCACGCTACATATAGCAGCAGAAATGGAGCAGCAGCGCGCTTCCCTGCTGCTGGTAACCCGGCAACGGGTCAGAGCGGCAGTTCATGTGCGGCTGTTTACAACTATGACTTACGTGTTTGGCACTTCAGAATTCAGCTCCCTCGCTCTGTGAGTTTGCATGGTCTATCATTCTGTGACTGGGCTGTTATTGATTTAAGGTGCTTCCACTCAGGTTTAGCCTTTGGGGTGTGCGAGCAATGCATTCATGCAGGGCACTGTGGCAACAGGGGCGCTGGGTGGCCAACACAGCTCTCAACAACAGGCTACATGGTGATATTACATGCTGATCATTGTGTCTGGCACCAGTTTACCAGAGCTCCACCATGATTGTGTTTGTAAGTCCTTCTGGCAATGGAGGGGGGGAGGGGAGAGTGGGGAGAGTGCAGCAGTGGTGCGGGAGGTGTGTTTAAAGAGCCCAGCCAGACTTCCAGTAGGTGGGCTAGACAGCCACTGTGCAGTCAGAGAGGCAGTAGGAAGTAGGGAGGGTGGCAATGTGGAGGGAGCTATTGCCAGACAGTGAATGGGATGGAGAGTGAGAGAACCTGACAGGTAAAACTGTGTTTCTCCAAGTCACCTCCATTAAGAGGCAGGCTGTCTGGGTAGGCAGGCTCTCAGGTTAAATGGAAGTGGGCAGGTCAAGAGGAAAAGAAGAAGGATAACTAACCAGTGCACTGACTGCTTAGCACGCCAGGTAGCTAGTAAGCAGCCAATCCCAGGAGAGGAGGTGGGGTTATGGGCTTACAGTCATAATAACCCAGACTGCCTAATCTCCTGAATGATTGTTTCTGTCCCACAATATCACAGAGGTTATTTTTTATGTTAAATAAAATGTAGTTCAAAACATAAAAGTAACTTTTAAAGTACATTTTGGAAAATATAATCAATACATTTGCAAAACATTGATGTTGATTGGGATGGATTACCCTCTGCAAAACATTGAGAGTGGGTCAAGGTGATGTGGGGTGCACTTTGCAACCTGCACTCTGTTTTGCACCTTGTTTTTTTGGGTGGGGTTGCTTTTCTTACTTTTCTAAGTACATTTACTTAAAAAGGTCTCATTACATCCTGAAACTTTACTTTTTAAGACTGCATGTCTGCCTCTTAACCATTTTCTGATATTATGACATGCAATGACATCCTACAAAAGGAAGGCTTTAACACCATTAGAGCGGCATAACACACTCTAATGATCAGGCCCTACCTTCCTTCGTTGGATCTGAAAATATAAATAAATATACCTTAGAACTGTTCAAATGCAACATAAGCCCAGCAAACAAATCTGGCAATTTCTATGTGTACAAATCTAAAATTGGAAACCCCTATATTTTACCCGGTAACTTTGCAAAGCCACATGAAACCTGTACATGGGCAGTACTGTTGTACTCGTGAGATATTGCTGAACACAAATAGGAGTATTTTAGAACAGTAAAACGTTTGATGATGATATCATTAGTGAAATAACTTTTTTTTATGTGAAAAATGCATTAAACAAATATGAATGCTAACTTTGGCCAGGGTTTGAGACAAAGTGACTACTAGAAAATACTAGACATACCCCATTTTGAATACCCTGGGTTGTCTACATTTGAAATTTTATGACGTGATGGGTGTAATTTTCATTCCTGGGCTGCCACAGGGTCTCAAAGGCATCAAAGTCCCAGCAAACCAATCTGGCAAATTTCAATGTGTTTAAACTAAAAAGGGGAAAGCCTTATATTTGAACCTGTAGCTTTCCACACACACAAAAAAAAACTGTACATGGGGTATTGTTATTGCCGTAAAATCTAACAGTATTTTGACATTCACAGATAAAATGCCATGCAGAACTTGGGAAAATGCCAAATATGCTTAGTTTCTTATATTTTATATTGATTTGAAATGAAAGCCCTATTTCTTCTGAACAAAATTAAGTATAATAATTTGGGTGCACTTAATATGAGGGTTAATGTGTTAGTATATTAATACAAAGAAACTAGTCCTGCGCTCAAACTCCCATTACTCCTGGGCGGCAGCAATGACTATAGTACACATCAGCCAAAATACATATAGTAAAAACCAAAGAAAAAAAGTTACATGCGCTTCTAACGGATCACCTGGCACCCCGACTGGGTACCTCCTTTGAAGGATGCTCCTAGCGCTTCCTGAGGACTCCAAGCACTCTGGCAGAGACCACAATCACCGAATCGGAGAAACAAATAAATTCTCCCAAGCATATGAATGTTGTATACAGCTGAATAGGAAAAACCATGCGAATAGGTTTACCCTCCTAGCAGTCAAACTGGAACAGCATACAATAAATCCTCCCCCCGATAATGAGACGACACTTCACTTTGAGGGTTAAGCAGGAACTGCCTGGACTGGCACATACAGCCTCTTTTATGACCAATCCACAAACTTAGTACTGCCCACAGGGTTTTACAAAACAACCAATCAATCCGTACAATACACAGACACTCCCACACAAAATCCTGCCCTCTGCCTGTGATATGATTACTGAACACAATGGTTAATCTCATTATCACAGACAGAAAAATACAGTTTCATAAAACACATCACAGGGACCCCAAAACATGCAATAACCCCATAAAAAGTATATCCTTGGAACTGGGGGATCTGGGTGAACCACATATCTAAAATTCACCCAGATCCGTTCAGTACTTTGGAAAATACAGTTTAATGCAGATTCTGCAGAACATATGCAGGCTAAATGAAAAACAATCACTGTATAATTTGTCCCCTGCTGTATAGTCCAAAACCACTGCACGATGTCTCTGTGCACCAAATAATGGCGAGATGGCACCGTGTTGAAAAGTCCAAACAGTGTCTGTGAGTTAAAATGGCCGCCATTCATTGTTTTCACCATGTGCCTCTGATACAGGAAATGGTGGCCACCCAGTAACTCCACAGTATGTCCCCAGATGGTTCTTAAAGGGCCAGCAGCAGCACAACACAAATCCCTTATGCCCAAATCATGTTCTTAAAGGGCAATACATCCGAGGGCCATGGTCACAGGGCAGGAAGCTAACAATCAGTCCTCTCCAATGCCCAGTGGTGAGGTCGGTTTCGCCACAGCGCTCTTTCCACATCCCTATGTTATTTTAAAGAAATGGAGGTTTTTAGTTATGGCCATTGGAGGTAACTAAAAACCTCCATTTGTTTAAAAATACATAGGGATGTGGAAAGAGCGCAGGTAACTTTTTTCATTGGTGTTAGTATATTAGTTTGCCAATTATTATTTACCACTTTATTAGTTTACTGCAGTTTAATATAATAATTATACATACAGTACCCTTATAAAAATACTTTTTGTCATTCAATGTACACTGTTTCACTTCTTTCTGCATGCTACCCCAGCCCACAGCACATAGTACTGACAGCCCCACCCCAAACACAGCGTTAAGAATGCTGGAGGAACCTTTAGTGGACTATCCTGGGTACCAGGGCCAGATTTACATGTCAAGTGCCAACAAATTTTAAGGCTCCCTCCTCCCCACCCCAAAAGAGGATAGGCAGATACAGTGAGATTAATTTGGTATTGTTAGTAAATGTATTTCACCAATATTTGATTATTGTACATATAGTTACTAATATGCTGGGTTTGTAAACTTTTCAATAGTATAAAAAAAATTCCACATTACCTACCCCATCTCTTGCACTTCTTTTTTGCCCCTCCTAACAGTAAATAAAAATAAATTCCTGTCCAGAGGTCTTCCACCTGAACATCCAACAGAAAACAATTATAGCAACCTTCTTTTTACTAAACTCTATGCTCTCGTGTCCAAAAATATATACTCATATTTGACATTGATACATTTATGTATGATGGAGTGTAGGGTCCCCTAGTGGGCCTGAAACCTAATTAATGGGATCTTCTACTGGAACTGAAGTTTAGGCAGAAAAATTTTGCAATGTGATGGGAGGGGCCTCCCCTTACTTTTTAAGAGGCTCCTCTGTTTCCTGTCACCCCTTTTGGTTCCTGCTGTCTCCTAAAGTTCTGGTCTGGTGGATTCCTCTTCAGTATGGAGAGGTCTCGACACTTGGTAGGCCCCCCAAAGAGGTTCAGAGACTCCATTCCTCCTTCTTCTCGATGCCCTGAAATGCGTGAGATGAGCATTGAGGAGTTTTCTCTAACTCCTCCACCTGCTATAAATTACTCCTCTTGTTTCTAAGGTTTCTTCCGTTTCTGTCTCTTCCCTTCCTTCTGCTACTGATCAACTTCATTTACCCCCTCCTGTCCTTCCTCCCCTGTACCCTGCTTCTTTCCCACCCTCTCCTGTATCCCCCTCTTCCCTCGCCCCTTCAGCTGAAGCCTTGCAGCACTTGGCTGCTCAGTTTGCCTCCCTACCCTCCAATGCTCTCTCTGCCTTGGCTGCATTTACTCAGGCAGCCAAGGTCACCCCTGCTCTCCCTTTTCTTGCCCCTGGGGGCTCCAGTGCCCCTGCCCTCTACTCCCTCCCGACCTCTGGGTAGAACATCAGTGCCATGCACGCTCCCCTTGGGGGAAATACGCCAAGCAGTGCTCCTGCTGTGTCTTCTGTCTCTACTATTACCTCTGTTAACCCTACATCCACTGCTGATTATTCTCCTTCTCATGCCTCGTTGATCTAGCGGCTGCCGTGTCCTCTGCCCTTGGTGCTCCCATCTTCTGTTTTGCAGGAGGTGCTGTTCCTCCCAACTTGGGATTGTAGGTGGCTACGCCAGTCGGTGAGTCTTTTCCTCCAACACTCGCCAGTTTAGATTTATCCTTTTCGTCTGACGACTCCGGGTTGGAAGATGAAGGCGCGTTAGGCTTGTCCTCCAGGGGTCAGATATGGATGTATTGCATGCTCAAGAAATTGTTGCTAGCACAAGGTAAGGGGGGTCACCCTGGCTCTGGGGTGGATCTGTTCCAACCTCGGCACCGTTGACTTCCCCCTCCTCTTCCCTTGGCCAGAATTTGTTGCTGCACAGGGCAGCCATTCAAGGGGACTCATACCCCTGTTCTGTTTGCTCCCTGCATACGCACCTCAAGTCCAAGATGAAGGCAAAGATTTGAGAGTTGAAATATTTCCACATTGTAGCGGATGGTATTAAGGCTATCTTAAAAGACTGTGTTAAAACTGCAATTTGTGTGTTTATTCTTCTGTATAGTTAAAACTGTATGTAGTATTCGTATGATTGTTTGGTAGTTTCCATCCGTATTCCATATGAATGAAAACTACTGAACCAATAGACCACCCCAGAGAGAAGTGTGCACCTTATTAGACTTCACACTTCTTTAACCGCAGGTTAATTGGTACTTTGTGTATGTACCTGGGTGGCCGCTGTTCGGCATACGAACACGTGGCGGCGGCCATCTTATGCACGAAAACCTCAGGGCTCCGTAACTCCAGAACGGGAAGGCTAATCAGCCCCCGTTCGGTAAGTTAAAAGTACCGAACAAGGGGATTCGTGCGAATGCAATGTTAATCATGGATGTCAGGTTTTTATGTGTGTTTTACCTCCCGAACGGAGACCGACCGTAGGGCCAAAACACATGGAACCCTTTTCGGCTACCACCTTGTGTGCAGTCGGTCAAATTGTCCCTTCCACATAACTCCCGAACCCCTGGTCTGATCTGGGTGAATTTTGGATATGTTGGTCACCCAGATCAGGGCTACCAGGGGGTGCCACTTAGCCCTTTGTACCTAACTGTTTTGGGGTACATCCAGAACTCGGGGAAGATTGCAGCAGATATAATGGGATTATGTGTCACACTGAGGGGAGGAGATGTGTGGGAGGTAACTTTGACATTATTGGTTACTGTCCTAATTATGATGAATCATTCCCTTGCATGGGAGAATGCTTTATAAGGAGGTTGTGTGGATTAAAAGTCAGTTCTGCTCCTGATGCTGTGTGTCGTCCAGTCATTGGGATCTGTATGGGGATATTCGTGGATTACCTTGTTTGCTGGAATTATTACTTTATGGTATTTTTACTACTTGTTCCTGAGCCTCACTGGGATCTTTAGTGGAGTTAACCTGTGGAATACCAGGCCTCCGCTACACGCATTTTTGGGCTCTCTTCTGAGGCTTATAGGATTAAGGAGAGAGCTGACGGTGAGTCTGGTTCAAAACATCTCAAACTCCTAGAATCCTTTGAAGAGTGACAGCGCTTCTTTTTGGGCACTGGCTTCCTGTCTCTTGGAAAAGCATCCAGCCAGGCTATTCCTGTCATCAAGTACATGGAGACGATAGATTATATTTATCGTCATTTTAGGGAAGGGGCATGGAAGGAATATGTTTCGGCATTTAGGAGGCTCATGGCGAGTAATCATTCTCTGTCCTTTGGTGTGCAGGATATGCACCTGTGGTCGCACTTGGGGCCAGAGAGGGTCTTGCCTCCTGAGAGTGGCATTTTTTTCCCAATATTCCCACGCTTTTCGCCATGATGGGCGGAAGTGGCGTGAATGCTGGAAATTCCAGGATAAGCAATGTGACAGGGGTGCTGCTTGCTCCTTTCGTCACATCTGCAGATTCTGTAGGGGTGGCCATCTTGGAGCGGAGTGCAAGTGAGCGCAGGCCTCCTCTGGTTGCTCATTCTCCTCTCTCAAAGGCTCCAACACCACTGAAGGTGGACGCAATTGAGAGGCGGCTGACTTTTTACCCTCCCCGGCAGCAAGCTGAATGGCTTCAGGCTGGTCTTCGGGAGGGTTTTTGATCCTGGTTGAGAGTTACTCCCCTGGTAAGGTTCCTCCTAGGAATGTTCGATCAGCCTATTCTTTCCCCCAAATGGTCAGGAGGTCTAAGGAGGTCTCTCTGGGTAGTATATAACTGTCCCCTTTGCTCTCCCACCTATAGAATACTTAGTTATTTCACCATTGGGTGTAGTGCCCAAAAAGGAGCGAGGCAAGTTTAGGTTCCTTTAACACTTGTCATACACTGATGGGGCATCAGTTAATGACGCCATTGACCCAGCCCCTAGTTCGGTCCACTACCAGCCGTTTCATGATGCTGTGGCGGTGGTCTAATAAGCAGACCAGGTGGCTTTGTTGGAAAAGCTTGACATTGAGTCTGCTTTTTGCCTTCTCCCTCTACACCCTTCTTTCTTTCCGTGGATGGGTTTTAAGTTTGATGGGGCTCATTACGTGGATAAATGCTTACCGATGGGCTGCTTGGTGTCTTGTGCTTTCTTTGAATCCTTCAGTTCATTTTTGCACTGGACTGTGGCCTCGGTTGTGGGCAACACATCGGTAGTGCATTACTTGGACGATTTCCTCCTGGTGGGTCCTGCCGACTCATTGCTCCTATTTAATGCCCATCATGAGGAGTCTCATGGCTGAGTTTGGTGTTCCCCTGGCAGAGGACCAGTCTGAGGGGCCTACACAAGTGCTTTCCTTTTTGGGCATTGAAATAGACAATCTACCTACTTTAATGCAGTGCAAGCAGGTTTTGTCCCTGAGGGATTTGCAATCCCTTTTGGGCCTCCTCAACTTTTCCTGCAGGGCTATTCCCATGGGTTGGGTTTTCAGTAGGCATTTGGAGATGGCCCTCCGCAGCAGTCCTAAGGGCAAAGCTAAGATCTCCTTGTCTGTGGACATGTAGGAGGACCTTGTGTCTGGGGGTGTTTCCTTCCTCCAACCAGTCTCTCCATTGGTTTAAGGATGATTTGGGTTCTTGTAGTTGTAAGACTTATTTTCAGGGGCCTTGGAGTGCCGCCCCCTGGCCGCCTTTGTGGCGTGCTAGGGGCCTTACAAGAAACCTTACTCTCCTTGAAATTTTCCACATACTGGTGGCAGTGGAGTTGTGGTGCTTGCGTTTTTTTGCAACCAGTCAGTTGTTTTTTGGACTGACAACCAGTTGGTGGTTCACGTCATCGGTTGTCGCCCTCTTCTCCCCTGGTGGTTAGGTTGCTCCGTCTGCTAGTTCTCATTTGCTTTGCAGCTAGCCATGTGTCACGTGTGGCGGTCCGAAGACCGGGACCCCTGTGTGCCTGATGAAGAAGATAGGAGTCACAGCATGGAAATGGACTATCAGGGCCTGGGGCAGGGTAACTACACGCCCCCTGGTGTTGAACACCAACGTTTGTGCGGCCACATACCAGAGTCCTGATGCAACATAAGCCGATGCCAGGAGCTGATTTTAAGCAGATAAGTATCCAGTACTAGAAACAGGGCAAGACTAGAACAGGCACCAAAATAGAAAACAAGACAAGACTAGAAGAACCCAGATCTGGAGAAGGACAGAAAG